ATAAAAGTGCCTAATGTATTAGCATTGCTTACAATTTGCTAGATATACACGATTAAACTAATTCCAATTTCTAGGATCATTAAATTGGTAAGTTTTCTCTTATCTTCTCAAGAATACTATAGTTATTAATTTTGAACCAAACTACTTTCTCCTATTTTTTGTGATGTAAAAAAATGAATAACCCGAATCGAAATTCAAAATGGATCAAACTGATCAAATGAAAACCTTACTTTGATTATGTAAATAACAGTATTGTTTACCCTAAAAAAATGGATAACACTTGAATTTGTATGTGATTTTAAGGATATGTGGATTAATTCAATACGAGTGATTAATATTAAGCAAATAAAAGACGTAATAAATGGCCAAACTAATGATAAGAATGATTCCGAGCTCGGTTGATGGCTCAATGAAGAAACTGCCCTCGATTCCAATCTTGCACTTATGAAGAACTTGAGAACAAAACTAAGAACTTAGAACAATAAAGAGAATTGAAATAAATTACCTTGGTAAGCATGTTATAATGTCCTTTATGGTTAATAAGCTTCCCCTTTATATAGTAGGGGAGTTTTACCCTAAGTACAATTCTAAGAAACGTAAAAATCTTTCGTTTCGCTAATAACTGATTTTATGCCGATACGGGCCGAGATTTATGCTGTGATATCCAGTTGGGCACGTATATCACAACCCTTTATTAGTCGTGTGCGGCTGTTTGGTAATGCTCTCCGAAGTCTTGATCCTCGAACCGAACTCGGAGGACATGGCTTTGATACCCCCGAGGGATGGTGTTTTGCCCGAGCCCCGATACGAGGAGCTGCTCACTCTAACTCCAATTCATTATGGTCACGTCCCTGCTCTGTTTGCCTCACCGGAAAATTGGGGTGCTCATCGGGCTCAGTTTTACCCGTATACAGATAGTCCACTCATTTCTCGGAGAGTAAGCTTGCCGAAACGATGGGAAACGATAGATGACTTCGGTTCCTTCCTTCGTACGTTACGATGAGGGATCCAAAACGTCCCATCAGTCACGTCGTTTTGACTTCGAACATGTGCCGCTTACCGGCAGGTTTCCCCCGAATGCTACGCGTCCGTTGTTTCCCTATAAAAGCTTCTTTCTTTTGTCCTTTTTCTACTTTTCGACTAAATCACTACCTTCGAGCTGTCCAACCATCACCAAACCTTCTTCAAACCTTCATATCTTCATCCTTGTTCTTCAATTTCCATAGTAATCTTCAGATTTTTGCCCAGATTTTCTTCAAATCTCCATACTTTGTTCTTCATCTTCAAAACCCATTTTTCCAAAACTTTGCGTTCTTTCCTCAAATTTTCAAACATTCCATAGATGACAAAGGCCAAAAAATCAAAAATCATTCCTCAACAAGTTGCCTCTTCATCTTCTCAACCGGTCGTTGGTACTGAAGAGCTTGACCTTGAGGTGGTTGCCCTCGAAACGGCTTCCCCCATTGTGGCTGCTAACAAACCGTCCACCGAGTCTCTCTTTTCAACGCTTATTCTCAGGAGCTGCTCAATTGTAGATGACTTTAGAGTCGAGAAGCCCTCGCGCAAACAGGACCGGGGTGAAGAAATCTCGAGGTACATATGTTCTATGACTGAATATGTTCTTCCCATAGTTCATAAGGACTACAATTAGGAAGGCAAGAATGTAGTAGTCCCTGGGCCCGAGGACGCCGTTACTACTCATGTGGAGGGGTACTTCAGTGTTTACACATATCCCTTCACACTGGGACCGATAGACCCAATCATTCTAGACATTTGCAAAGGGTACAAGGTGTGCCTCGGGCGAATCCATCCATCTTTGTGGAGGACCGTGACCCTCCTCCGCTACTTCTTGAATAAGACCGAATCTCGTCGGTTCACGATCGTCCACTTACTACGATTATTCAGTCCCCGAATATTCCGAGGGGGACTGATCAATCTTACTCGCCGGGCCAGCAAGGCCCCCTTTTCGAGTATCGACAAAGACCGAGATCAGGGCTGGCATGGACGCGTTGTCCGAATGAAAACCAAGGATTTGATCCCCCTGGAATACATGTCATTCCCTGAGAAGTGGAATGCATCGCGTAAGTGCAATTCTCTCTTTAAACATCAAAATTCGTTTTCTTTAATTTCTATCTTCTCATTCATGCTTGTGGTTGTGCAACTGTCGCCCGGGTTCCGAATGCGGTTCCCCGATTAAAGGAGTAGATCGAGGGCATCTGTACTCAGATGTCGTACTTCGAGAGCACATGGCGCGGACTCTTGAAGGGCCAATGGGAGGCCTATTCTCATGGTAAGGCCTTTTTCTGAGTAGCCAATACTATGTTTCTACCATTTATTATACTAACTCCTCTTCACTTTTTATTATTGTATGTTTGCCTAAGTCTACCGAACTTAGTCCTTCGGAAGGGGATGAGGATGTGCCCCCGTCCGAAGAGAAAACCCTTGGGCTACGAGGCGAAGAAACTAAAGAAATGGGTGCTCCGTAAGCCCAGGAGGGGCTCCAGTTCCCGGGTGCCGGACACCGACTCCCTCCTCCGGCTTAGAGACGAGCCAAAGGATGAATCTATTTTTGTAACGCATGAGACGACCTATCCTGGGAACTGGGATGCATCCGAGAAGGATACTCGAGAGATAGACCCCCCTAAAATTCAAAAGACCTACGTGGATACCCGGGGTGAAACTTCCCAGGATGTCGGTTCTGCTCCAAAGGAAGCGCCCAGTGTAATTGAGATATCGGGGATGCCCTCCTACCCTGAGTATATTCTCGTGGAGGCCCAAGCGACGGTGTGGACTCATCTGCTTTGGAAGACTTCTCCGGGCTGGGCGACCTGGAGGTTTCGAAGAAAGACACTTCCTCGGAAGCTGACGGGACGAGCTCGAGCTCGAACTTGGTCAATTAGTTCCCCGCTCCGAGTGTGGACCCCGGTCGTAAGAGATCAATTATACTGACTGTACTATAGGATGCCCGGGTTTTTTCTACTCTTGTGGGGGTAGCTAGCTACCTCTGATGCCTGGTGACCGAGGAGGACGAGGCAAATATTAATGCAGTGAATGTGCCATGCCTTTTCAATGAGGTGCATCAGTCGCTGAACCGGGTAAGGCATCGTTTCCTTCCATCTCTCTATTGCTATCTGTGTTTGATGTTTCTTACATTTTTCTCCTTTTTGCAGGCCTCGGTACTTCACCACGAGAGTTTCCTTCAGTACCGGATTGAGGTCAATCTACTCGAGCTCGAGATCAAGGAGCTTGCCAAAAAAAGGGACATGAACAAGCTTCTTAGCGAGGAACAAGAGGGGGTCTCCAAGAACCTCCAGGCCGAGCTGGATGCAGCTCAGAAAGAGGCATCGGCCTTAAGGCAGGAGCATGCCGACTTGGTGGAAAAGGTAAAAGTTTTTAAAGTTAGACACGAGGGTCCGGTAGTAGAGTTTAACAACAATACTTCACAGGTCCAGCAGAAGATCGACCAGATCGACCAACTCCGCAAGGAGATGGACGAGATCCAAATAATGGCCGATAAGTGGAAAAATAAGATGGACCTGCTGGCCTCAGAAAAGGAGACCCGCCAGGCCAAGTTGTCCTCGATGTAAGTTCAGCTTCGAGTGGCGAAGGAGAAGGCCGATACACGGGCTCAGCAAAATGAGGATCTCCAATCACGACTGGGCTCAGCCATCGCCAAACGGGATGCCCTCGGCAAGGAGCTCGAAATAAGGAGGTCCAGGTTGAAAGCAACCTCGATTGATGCTGACGAAATGGTGGCCCAATACAAGGGCCGATGTTGAAGCAGCCAAGGCCCGCCTGAAGACTACTACTGAGTATGTGAAGCGGATATCCTGAAAGGAGACCCTCAAAGAAATACATGCCCGAGGCTTCGACCTATCTGCCGAGATCGAAGGGGCAAAAAGACTCAAGGTCGAGGTCAAGAAGCTAGCTGAACCACGAGGTGAAGAGGGCACCGAGAGCTCTGAAGAATCCGAAGTCCCCGACGGTTATGGTGACAAGTCAGATTCCGGTGAAGACCAGGCGTATATGCCTTAGGATGTTTTTTTGTTTTTCTATCCTGTACATATATTTTGTTGAGGCCGTTTTTATTGGGCCTTTGTAAAGATATTCCGGAAATATACCCTTTTGGCAATTTTCAAGTCTATTATCTAAGCATCTTTTTACAATTGCAAACATTTCTAATGCCTTAGCACATAATCAAATGTAGTAATAAGTCATTTTTCGTAGGTCTGAACAAGACCTGCCTTTGATGAAATGTTTGCTCGAAACTTGTAGAAACTCGGAGTGACCGGAAATTTCCCCAAGAAGCTTGCTGATGAAGTGCAAAACCGACATATAAACTTAGGCTCGCTAGTCAAATATAGTATATAAAATATTGTATCCACAGGGATTGGATTTAAACAGTGTTTTCGTAGCTTCTAGTTTAATTACTATCCAAGATGATCAACAATTTAGATTTGTGTGAATTAAAACTAAAATTAACTAAAAGTCTAAACTTTTGGCTAATGATAATCAACGTAAGTATTAAGCAAAGGAAGTTATCAATTGGGAGAAGATAGGGTTGATAGGATAGGTGCAAGACAAATGTTTGGGATTTAACTCTAGACAATTCACTTATAATGTTCAAGTGAGTCTCTCGAATTCACTTGGTTACTAGTTCAATTGATTAGAAGAAACTCCTCTCTCGATTAAGTCTCAACATCACAATATAAACTAAGTTAAGCTCAGTGAAGATATGCAAGAATTTGTAGTGGGTTAATCTTTGGGAGAATCTCTTTCGATTATTCTCCTAACTAGGTCTAAACAATAATTCAACTAGTCTCTTTTGATTACTAAGAAGAATCAATGAATTCAACCAACAAGATAATGCAAAACATCACAAATTATGCCTCTTTAAATTACATAAACATGTGAATATATATGCAACAATAAAAATACCCAAAACAATTCAATACATAAAACTAGAATTAATATCCACAAACAATTCTCAAAATACCAAATCCATCAATCCCTAAGGAAGAATTGCTCTATGGATATGGAGTAATTCATTATAATTAATTTTAAAGTAGAAAAAAACATAAAATAATCCAAATCCTTATCTTGAGTTGGGATTGAATGATGGAATCCTTGTGCTCTTCCTTTTCCAACTTCTTCTTAGCCTCCTTAGGTCTTAGATGTGTCAAAAGTCCTCAAAATACCATTTTTCTATGTATATATACCAAAAAATCATCTTTAGGACTGAAATAGGTGCTAAACAAGTAGTTCAAGTGGGACGTTAATGTCATATACAAAGTCAGTAAAATAATAGGATTTTGGACTTACATGTACAAGTCGGGATCGCTTACTAACAAACGATTTTTCATCATGACCATGTGTATGGACGTGCAAGTGTAGCTCACTTGGTGTTGGATCTCGACCCTTTTCAATAGCCTATACAAAAAACAAAGAACTTATCCTTTGATAAGGTGAAACAGTTTACTAATGGAGGTACTAAGAAGGTATACACCAGTACACATTTATTGAATGTCACGTAGGTTCTTGGTTTACCATTTGATAAGTGTAGCTGCAAAATCCAGTTTAGTTCTGTGCTTCCTATTTTATATTTGGACTTTTTGATTGAACTCAGCTTATGTTATGTGTAGGAATCAACTATTGGTGCAGCATTTTTCTCGCAAACAGTAGCAGTAAATGATGCTACTGTAAAATTTAAAATATGCGACACATCAGGCCAAGAGAGATACCACAGTCTTGCTCCAATGTATTAAAGAGGAGCTGGAGCTGCTATAATTGTTTATGATATCACAAATCAAGTAACTTTCTCACCTGATTCCAACTATTCACTATAATTACTCGATATTGCTCTGAAAATTTTTGCTAGCATGTGAACTTGTTAACTTAGTTTCTCAATTCTTTATTTATAGGCATCATTTGATAGAGCAAAAAGGTGGGTTCAGGAGCTTCAGGTGAAAAAGTGGCTTCAGGTGAAAAAGTAAGTTACTGCTCCTCCGTTCCACTCAACCTATTAAAAAGCTGAAATATGTGTACTGAATTCTAGTGATTACCCCTTACGAAGAAATACTTACAAGTCTCTTGCGATGTTCCCCAATGGTGACAGAGTCACCCGTGTGAGTCCTAATGGTGATGGCAGTCCCACCGCCACAACGATATTTTGTATTTATTTCTGATTTTTTGACACACTTAGGATCCTTCCATAGTTCCATCCAATTGTCCCACACATCTTTTGGAACAAAATCTGGTTGAACTATATCCTTATCTTTTCTTTTTTTTTGCATATAAAATCACAGTACCTTCTCGCTGCCTTACTTCCCCATAGGCGCTTCACTTCTCTGTCAATCAAAGCAGTCTCAAAAGCAGGACAAAACAGCGTGAAAGTTCAGCAACAATGTAGAGTTTTGTAGCACTTCACCTTGAAGAAATTGGAAACCACGCAGATCTCAAAACACCTAAATTTGATTTTAATAACCAAATATCACCAAAATTGGTATTAATCAAGAGTTCAACACAAAAGAAACCCCCAAATCAGATTTTACCAACAATAAATAGTAATAACAATACATATTTATGCACAAATGAGATATACCCAAAATATGTCAACCTCTACTTCATATTTAACTTCACATACTACAAAGAAAAAGGGGGAAGAGACGAAAGCTTGATTTATTTTACATCTACCAAAGCCCTAAAAATTTTAATGTAGAAAAATTGCTAATAAACAGATAAAGAAGCAGAGACATACCAGTATTTTAGAAAAGAGTTGATGTAGTAACGCATCTGGAAAAATTAATGGAAGATTAGAGGAGAAGAAGAAGAAGCAAATGGGGTGGTTTCTTAGTGTATTCTTGTGTGAGAAAGAAAGACCTTATTTTTTAGAAAGGGGCTGGTTTTTCACTAAAGCAGAACACTTATTTTGACGCAACTCTTTTTCCCTGAATACCTAGCGACAAAAACTTTCCGTAGCAACAAGGGTAAAGATACTCTCATTAATGAAAAATATTAGCGACATACACACTTCGTCGCTACATCCGTCGCTAATATGCAATAAATTTTGTCACCAAACTTTCCTCGCTTATTTTGTTGCTATAATGAGAGCGCCAATTTTTAGCGACGAAGTTTTCTTTTTGTCGCTAATTTGTCGCTATATTAGATAAAATTATTCTACTTACCTTTTTTGCGATAAAGCTCTATTTCCGTAGTTAATCCGTCGCTAAGTAGCGACGGAAACATATTTGTCGCAAAAATCCGTCGCTAAATCGAGTTTTTTTTGTAGTGGCATATTCTTTTGTAAAAGCATATACCGGAGCCATAAAGGTCGAGACCAGGAAGTCGGACCTTTTCAAAGTAAGGCAAAAAGATAACGAGATGCTAAGAGAGTTCGTATCTCGTTTCCAAATGGAACGAATGGATCTACCACCGGTCACGGACGATTGGGTCGTTCAAGCTTTCACCCAAGGATTGAACGAACGAAGCTCGATGGCTTCACGACAGTTGAAGTAGAACTTGATCGAGTACCCGGCTGTTACCTAGGCCGATGTGCATAATCGATATCAATCGAAGATTATAGTCGAAGACAACCAATTGGGTTTTGGGTCCGTTATTAAAAGGGGCACTGACCGAGAACTAAGGTCGAATAGGGACCAATATCGGCCGTATAACGGAGATCGTAGGGGTAACGAACCGGGGCGCACCCCCGTACGAGGTGAAAGGAGAAGTGATCGAGGCCAAGGGTCTCGAGGGCTGATGAACAAGAATGGGTTTGACAGGCATACCGGACCTAAGGAAGGACCGTGGTTATCATAATATAACTTCAACATTGATGCACCCGCCATCGTATCAGCTATCGGACGCATCAAAGATACTAAATGGCCTCGACCTCTGCAGTCCGATCCAGCCCAGAGAAATCTCAATCAAATGTGCAAGTATCATGGCACCCATGGCCACAGAACAGAAGACTGCAGGCAGTTGAGAGAGGAGGTAGCCCGATTATTCAATGATGGGGACCTTCGAGAGTTTTTAAGTGAACGGGCCAAGAACCATTTAAATAAAAGAGAGTTCAATAGACAAAACGAACAAGAAGAGCCACAACACATCATCCACATGATCATCGGAGGGATCGATGTCCCCCAGGGGTCGGTTCTTAAACGCACTAAGATGTCGGTTATAAGAGATAATAGATCTCGAACTCAGGGCTACATACCTAAAGGAACCTTGTCCTTTAGTGGCGAAGACACAGAAGGAATCATGTAATCCCATATCGATGCATTGGTAATATTTGTACTTATGAATAGATCTCAAGTTAAGCGTGTATTAATTGATCCAGGTAGTTCGTCCAACATCATTCGATCAAGGGTCGTAGAGCAACTCGGTCTACAGGACCAGGTCGTGCCCGCAACCCTGGTACTAAATGGATTCAATATGGCGTGTGAAACTACTAAGGACGAGATAATGTTGCTAGTAAACGTGGTCGGGACCATCCAAGAAACGAAGTTCCATGTGATCGAGGGCGACATGAGATATAATGCCATGTTCGGGAGGCCGTGGATCCACAACATGAGAACAGTACCCTCGACTCTTCACCGTGTTCTAAAATTCCCAACACCAGAGGGAATCAAAACAGTCTACGGGGAGCAACCGACCGCAAAGGAAATGTTTGTTGTCGATGAAGTGATTCCGATATCATCACTATCATCGACAAAATGATCAGATTTGAAGGAGAAACGGGACACCAAATAGCAATCACAAACGTCAGCCTCGACCCAACTAGAGAAGCAAAAGATTGGCGAAGATGATGATTATGGGATCCCTCGATCCTTCATCTTCCCCGATGATTCCGACGCTACCAAATCAACGATCGAAGAGCTGGAGAAAATCACGCTAATCGAGCATCTGCCCGAGCGAAAGGTATACTTGGGCACATGGTTAAATCCCGAGCTCAGGAAAAAGCTTATTCAATTTCTTATATTTAACATGGACTGTTTCACTTGGTCCCATCTTGACATGACAGGGATCCCACCGGAAATAATCACTCATAGACTAAGCTTGGATCCGAAATTCCATCCAGTAAAGCAAAAGAGAAGGCCCCAACCTGAGGGCAAACATGCCTTCCTCTTTGGCGAACGCGGATAGACCTTCGTGATCGCAAAACTTTGCCTGACTCCCCTATGCAAACACGGTCGAACCCCCACGAACGCAGTCGAACCTCCGCAAACGCGATGACCAGCGACCCCCAGCCTTCGTGAAAACGACAACCTCTTCGCATAAGCAAAGCACAATAGTCCCTAGCCTAAATCCTTCATCGCGATTGTAAGACATGCTCCGCGATCGAGAAGCGCACTAGACACTAGCAAAAATCTGCAATCTCCAATATGCTTTGGGTGGTCCAAAACTCATTTGAGCTCCCCGCAACCCTGTCTAATCATATCAATAAGTCCACAAATACTACGAGGACCTGTCCAAAGCCTCCAAACACATACAGAACCATCACATCTAAGAATCAAAAGTCAAACCACATGTCGAACTCTTTTAAATTCATAGACTTCTAAACTTTCAAGCAAGCGTCCGATTCATACTTAGATACTTCGGATCTCAACCAAACTTTGCACACAAGTTTCATAAAACAACACAAACTATCCTCAGTCTCGGAATACCAACCGGAGTTTGATAACCTCAAAGTCAACTAGCGGTCAAACTTATGAACCCTACAATTCTTCAAATTGCCAACTATGAGCAAATAGAGTTTAAATCTTCTAGGAACCTCCAAAAATAAATCCAAACATACGCCTAAGTCCAGAATCATCATACGAACCTATTGAAATCTATAAATCACCTATCCGGAGTCGTTTACTCAAAAGTCAAACCTTAGTCAACTCTTACAACTTAATGCTTTCAAAATAAAACTAAGTATTCCAGCTTATTGCCGAACCTTTCTAGAACCAAACCAACCATTTCCACAAATTATAATATCAAACAGACATACGGAAAGCATCTAATAGGAAAACGGGGCTCTAATACTCAAACGACTGATCGGATCGTTACAAGACATAATGTTCCTTCAAGTTAAATTCAACGAGTAAAGATTAATGAGATTTTGGTGGAACTAAAGCAAAATCAACAATCTCAAGGAGAAAATAAACGACTACTTGGGCCCCACTATGTGTGCCAAACAGTTTAACTTAAAATTAGCTATATATGTCAAATCAATTGATTTTGTATTTGCAGGCCACAAGCAAATAAGAAAATCAAATATAAAGAAAATAAAAGATAATTCTTATTGATAAATATTTCTCCTATTCTCAAGTCTCGTTTTGATTGGTTTAAACTTAATACAGTGATAGAGAGAATTATAAAGTGAATTTTCAGATGGGATACAAAGTTAGAAAAGTCGTCATTTTTTGTAACGACCCGACTGATCGTTTTGAATATTTATACTTCGCTCGATTGTTTGAGGGCATGAGTAGCTCCGGATGATATACTTTGACTTGTGTGAATCGTCATTTTTGGTTTGCAGGTATTTCACAATCGAATTGGAAGAAAGAAATTCATTGTTGAAGCTTTAAATTGAGAGAGTTGACCAAGTTTGACTTTTTAGCATTTGACCTCAGATTAGAATTCTGATTATTCAATTAGCTTCGTTAGGTGATTTTGGACTTAGGAGCGCGTCCGGATTGTGATTTAGAGGTCCGTAGTGGAATTTGGCTTGAATTGGCGAAAGTTGGAAATTGAGCGATTTCGGTCGGTAGTGAAAAATTTGATATCGGGGTCGGAATAAAATTCCGAAAATTGAAGTAGGTTTGTAGTGTCATTTGTGACGTGCGTGTAAAATTTGAGGTCATTCGAACGTGGTTTGGTTGGTTTCAGCATCGATTGTCGAATTTGTAAGTTTAAAAGTTCTTAGGCTTGAATCTGAGGGTAAATTGGTATTTTGATGTTGTTTTGAGTGATTCGAAGGTTCGACTAAGTTCGTATGGTATTTTAGGATTGGTTGAGGTCCCGGGGGCCTCGGGTGTATTTCGGGGTGAGTTTTGAGCGAGTCCGGGCATTTCCGGAACTCAGGTATGGTTCTGGCGCTTGGAATTTCGCGGACTTCAGTAGAATTTCGCGGCCGCGCTTGGAATTTCGCGGATCGCATAATTCTGCCGCAGCCGCACTCCGGGGAAAGTTCTGCATATCCGCTGGTCTGACTTCGGAAGCCTATATCTTTTGATCTATAATGAATTTTGAGATGATTCAAAAATAAAAGTTGTAGCTTTTCGTGTCTAGTTTCGAGAAAGGTAAAGAAATTATCATTTGGACATCTGTAGAGAAAGTTATGGACAAATTACTAAAGCCTGACAGTGCAGCCCCAGAATTTCGCGGACCGCACTATTTTTTTCGCGCCCGCGGGACCTGGGGCACGACCGCGCTCAAAAATTTGCGGACCGCGAAGTGGGAGGCCGGAGGTGCACTTTATAAACGGGGTTTAGGGCATTATTTCACATTTTGGTCCTAGGAAGCTCGGTTTGTGGTAATTTTTCGTGAGTTTTTCAAGAAATTCATCGGGGTAAGTGATTCTAACTCGAATTTGGTTAATATACATGAATATATCAATAATTTCATCATCTGATTAGTACTTTGAGGTGAAAATTTGGGAAAATTTGTAAAAATTTCATAAAATAAATTTTTGGGATTTGAATGTCGATTCGAAGTCGGATTTGAGTGAAACTAGTATCGTTGGACTCGTGAGTGAATGGGTGTTCGTAATTTGTGACTTTTATCCGATTCTGAGTCGTCGGCCGGGATTGAGCCTATTTCAGATTTTGGGCTAATTTGATAGTTTTTCTTGTGAAATTTATTCCATTAGCGTATATTGATGGTATTGTACTGATTGTAAATAGATTCGGAGCATTTGGAGGCCGAGTCGAGAGGCAAGAACATTTTGGGGTAGAGATTTGGCCGGTTTGAGGTAAGTAACGATTTTAAATCTAGTAGTGAGGGTATGAAACCCCGGATTTTGTATCATTCTACTATATTGAGGTGCGCACATGCTAGGTGACGGACGTGTGGGCGTGCACTGTTGGGGATTGTGACTTGGTCTGTCCCGTAGTAACTGTAAAGTTGCGTATTTTGTTGAAACTATATGATACTTATATGTTTTAGAAAGAGTTTTTGTAAATTGGGTTGAATGCCATGATTTGGCCTTGTGCCAGTGCTGTTTGGACCCTTAGGGGCCTTTTCTTGCTATCCTATAGCTGTTTTCGATTTAAAATCTATACTCAGTCATGGTTATACCTGTTTACTGCATAACTAAGTTTTTCTTACTCTATGTTGATGTGTATAAATGTTGTTTTGGGCTGAGTACCCTATTTTTACTGAAATGCCCGAGTGGCTTGAGAGGTTTATGACTGAGTGAGACCGAGGGCCTGATATGTGGGGATATTTATGGGATCGGGTTACACGCCGCAGCATGTTTGATATAGGCCGAGGGCCTAAGTGATTTATGCCATGATTTGGCTTGATATAGCGCTTGGGCTGAAGGAGCCCCTCCGGAGTCTGTACACACCCCCAGTGAGCGCAGGTACCTATTGAGTGCGAGTGCCGAGTGCTGAGTGACTGGGAGGCATGGGTGATTGTGAGGTATGCCCGAGTGGTATGAGTGATTGTGAGGTATGTCCGAGTGGCATGAGTGATTGTGAGGTATGCCCGAGAGGCATGAGTGATTGTGAGGTATGCCCGAGGGGCTGTTTATGATTTCATCATTTTTGCTCACCTTGCATTGAGCCTTGTTTGAAAACTGTTGAAAAATATCTTTAAATGATTTTAATGGAACTGGGTTTAAATGAGATGTTTTGATTCAAACCCTAATTTTAAAAGTATGTGGTATTTTATTGAGATTTCATGATATGAACTTTATATGCTTATTGCTCGTCACTACTGCTCAATCTTTATTTATTGTTGTTACTTACTGAGTTGGCGTACTCACGTTACTCCCTGCACCTTGTGTGCAGATTCAGGCGTATTTGGACACGATAGCGGCTGTTGACTATTCCGGTTGCAGATTTTTCTCGGGGATAGCAAGGTAGGTGTCTGGCGATCGCAACCCTGCTCTTCTCCCTCTTATCTTCCTTTAGTTGTATTTAGCTATTTTTCAGGCTGAGTTAGTTTTGATATTGTTAGACAGATTGTAGTAGATGCTCATGACTAGTGACACCCCGATGTCAGACTTTTCTTTTCCGCACTTTTGTTTTGATTTGAACTCCTTTACCAAGGTTTTTTTTTAATGCTAAATAGCCTTGAAATTATCTTTGAAATGAAGATATCAATTTGTTTTGGAATGAGTCGGCTTGCCTAATTCCACGACATGCGCCATCACGACAGGTTAAGTTTTTGGGTCGTGACATTTTTATAATAAATTTTTTCATGATCGTTAATTCCCTAATATCTCGCATGCACGTTATCCCCATTACTCTATTGTTTTCGCATATTATGTTTGAGGAATTTGTAATTGCTCTATATTTAACTATGAATCCCTTCTTATTGACTCTTTAGCGAAACTATAATATCAATAATTACGGTATCAACGATTTCGACTCAACTAATCTCGAATTCATTCTCCAAATGACCTTCCAATCCATTGGTCATTTCTATGCGTGCAGTTTGGCATCGTCTGTCACGCTTCTATGTTTAATTTATTCATGTCTAGGCCCACTTTTTACTAATACACGGTTACTTTTTTTTATTTTTTATTTTTTTTTTATTTGGTTTATTTTTTCAAAATCTCCGAGTTTGATAGATTGAAATTTATGTTTACCTTTTGTTTTCGTAAAATTTTAAATAATTAAACCAAATATCTATACTAAAACTAATAAAAAATGGATGATGCAACTTATAGTCAATGAGTTCAATTGGTCCCATTATTTTTGACATGGAATATAAATTTTTATGTAAAAAAATTTGCTAAAATTATTTTAAAAATTAATTGTGAACCTCTAATTTTAGAAGTGTAATTGCTTCATGGTGAAAACCTAAAAAGGGTGTTTGACTAAGTTTATAAGTTGCTCAAATTAGCTTATAAATACTTTTTGGCTTAACTGGGCGTTTGGTAAACCCTTAAAACGCTTATAAGTAAAGTGCTTAGAAGCCAAAATCAACCAAAAGCAATTTATAATTTTCCAGCTTATAAGCAATTTTGATTTAATCATTTTTTTTTATTTTATCTCTAATACTCCCTCCGTTTCAATTTATGTGAACCCATTTGATTGGGCACGAAGTTTAAGAAAAGAGAGAAGACTTTTGAACTTGTGGTGTAAAATGAGTCACATATATTTTGTGTGGCTATAAATTATTGTATAAAGGTAAATTATTTTCAAATAAGGAAAAAAGGTCATTTTTTTTGCACGAACTAAAAAAGAAATAAGTTCAAATAAATTAAAATAGATAGATATTATTTTATAATCCCGAACTACTAAAACGCCTAACTAATAATTTCCTTGACTTCACTTCGCCATATTTTTCGGGGCTTCTTTCCCAAACATCAAGAACTATAGGAAGTTCCTCACTATTAAAATCAATCAAATTGATTTGAGTTATGGAATTCTTTGTTTTATTAATAGGCCTTCTTCATGTCTTTGAAAACGTGGTTGTTTTATAGTAGTGTTTAAACTTCTCTTATGTTTTGTAATAAAATATGAACCCAATTATTTATCTTTATATGCATTGTGTTCGTAATGAAAGACGTGCTGTAATAATCATCTCCCAGTGTATTTTAGCTTATTGTTCTATTAAATATAAAGTAAATATTTATTGAAAATAATCTTATTTAATCATTTTTAACCATATGTAAATTCATAAATCAATGTACTTGTATCAACTTCGAATTCAAAATCTTGTATAATTATTTTTATTAGTCAGGGTAATTAAGTCATTACAATATAAGAAAATACTTATCAATATTTTTTTTCTAAATATTTCAACTGTTTATTATTAATTTCAGCCGTTATATTCAAACACGTAATTGCTTATTTATTTAATCATTTTCAACATATAAAAGTATTTTTCGGTACTTGATTTTATTAGCTACTTTAAATCAGCTAAACCAATCGGGCTTTAAATATTAAATCCATCAAATATATTATAGATATACATCTTTGTAATAATGCATCTATTTTCTTAAAATCCAATACACTTATGGATAGAAGCACTTTATCTCTAAATCGGGACAATCTATATCGATCGTGCCAAAAGCATAAAACGAACATCGAATAAGAAAAAAAGAATTTCTCCCGCAATTTACTTTTGACTTTGCACTCCTTTTAGGAAAAGAAAATGAAGTATATATTTTACCATTTACCCATAATAATGATAATATTTCCAAAAATTTTGGGAAATAAGTAATTAATGTTAAGGGTAAAATAAGAAAAAAAGGATTATCTTTCTCTTAATTTAGTATAGACAAGTAAAAGTAAAAATATATTTTTAGTATAGTGAACAAGTAAAAGGTAGTGGAACAAGTATCTATCTGCATCGGGGAGAAATTCAAAAATAGTCAGACTTATAAGTGGTAATTAAAAAATAGTCATAGTTTCAAAAGTAATCGAAATTTAGCCATTTTTCATATAAAGATAAATCTAAACGAAAACATTGTTCAAAATCCAGAAAATATTCCAGCATAATGTATTGGAGTTCCAGTATAATATACCGGTCCAGTATAATATGATGGAAATTCATACACAGGTGCTCTAATCTCCAGTATATTATGCTGGAACTTTTCGCGTGCTAGAGTTTTAGCATTTTGTTGGAAATTCATACACAAATGAACCAATCTCCAGTATATTATGCTAGACCGATCTGTATTATAGTAAAATAATAGTTATTTTTTAATAATATTATAAATACTGACTATTTTTGAATTACATGTCTGAAAATTGGTAGTCGCCCTATTTTTACATCTGCGTAGTGCTAGTTCTTAAGGCTGATAAATCCAGCTAGGACCCATGTATTCCTTTGGCCCCAAGGAAAAAAACACAGTGTTGATATCGTAATAAACACGAAATTCAGGGGTATTCTACCAATGACATAAGACGTTGTACTCTAAACAAGGCGCGAAGGCGTGTCAAAAGGGGGAAGACACGTCGGCAGAGTTTGTTTCTGTGTAAGATTCACTACCCAAAAACGGAACTCTCAATATAAACAGATTTCCATTTAAGAAACTGATCACTTTCTCATTACTTAGCCCTAGCTGTGTTTTTTTCTAACAGTCAATTCAATGGAGTCTCCGCCGTCACTTTCTCTATACATCTCCCAGAATTCAAAGTAACACTCACTTACTGTCTTTCTATTCGTTTTCTTATCTGGGTTTTTACAGTTTGATTTGTGGAAAAAGAATTTTATGAGTGAAACGCATTACCCATTTGATGATTTCTTTTTGGGTTTTATATTTGTGATTCTGATGATGTTAATCATGCATATAAAAAAAGAGGATTCCAATAAACACAGACAGAGTCAATTAATCTTTTTTTTTTCTTTTTTCTTTTATCTTTGTTTATGTTGTTCGTTTTGATTCTGATAATGTTCATACATAGAAAAAGAGAATTCTTAGTAAAACACAGACTATCTGTCATTTTTTGTTTTCTCTTTATGTGGTCTTCTTGATTCTGAAAATGTTGATACAAAGAAAAATTCATAAATTTGAGTAAAATACAGACCCATTTGATCATGTCTTTTTTTGTTTTTTTAATCTTTGATTTTCTTTGTGTGGGTCTTTAATGTTGATTTTCTAATGATTTTAATACACATGAGAAAGAGTATCTTTCACCAGAATTCCGAGTATAACAGTTAACACAAACCCATGGGATGTTTTTTTAAGTACTTTTCTACTTTCTTTATGTTAAATTTATTTTTTATTCTGATGGTGTTTCATCTTAAAACACATACACATTTTATGTTTTTCTGTTATTTTTTTACCTTTTTTATCTGGGTATGTGTGAATTGGATGGTACTAATGCATAGGAAAAGAGTGTTTCACCTTTCCTCATTTGATGTTTTTCTTCTATTTTTGGTTTCTTTTGTGATTCTGATGGTATTTATGCACACACAGACTTCTGATGTTTTTCATTTAATTTTTTTTTTTTGTGTGATTCTGATAATAATGCACATCAAAGAGAGTCTTTCACCTGAACTAAAAGCAAACCAGACCCACTTGATGTTACTCTTTTTTAAGTATTTTTGTTTTCTGTATGTGGGTCTGATGTAATTATTAGCACAGGGGAAAAGAGTGTTTCTCCAGAGCTTTCAGTAAAACACAGACCCTTTTGATTTTCATTTCATTTTTTTTTTGTTTTCATCGTTTATGTCTGTGTGATTCTGATAGTTTTAATGCACAGAAAAAGAGTGTTTCCCTGAATTCTAAGTGAAACACATATCTATTTGATTTTATTTCTTTTTATTTTTTATTTTGTTTTCGTTGTGTGTCTGTTTGATTTTGTTGAAATTAATGCACAGGAAAAGAGTGTTTCCTAGTGGGAGTTCAATCGATGGGCAGATGGTGGATGTCTCGCCCTCTATCAGTTGGAGTTCAAAATCAGAGTCTGTTAATCAAAAGGAGGTATAAATTTCTGTTCTTTGGTTCCTTCTTAAAGCTTTGGCTTTGGCATATGATTTCTTGATCACAATAAAAAGTTTGATTATATAGTGCAAAAGTCATGTGTCTCTTCTTGGAAATCCTGAAGTCAAGTTGAGTTTGATGAAGTTGTGGGAGAGAAAATCTTGATGCTGTTGGTTTTCACTTAGCATTTCCTTTAAACAGGGAAATATGCACACAACCTAGCAAAGGAAAGCCAACTTGTTGTACCTTTGCAAGAGTTTGAGAAAATTCAAAACATTAATAGATGTTTTGATTTGAATCTTTATTGTTTGTTTTTCTAGAGGTTATAGATTTCAGGGGTAAGCACTTTATTGTAGGACATGGTACTAATGCTGATGAATCGTGTTCATTTTGTAGTTTATTCACCGTGAAATAATAGATGTTGACATGGAAGGAGGTCATAGTGATGCAATGTTTATTGATGGGAATACTGAATCTAGTAGCAAAGGAAAGGTAACTAGAATTGCCAGTAGTTATTACAAGGATCTTGGCAAAGTACTGGCTACCTCTATGTTTTATGTGTGTTCTGTTCGGGGGCTAATTTGTAGATTCTCATCTTTCGCAGGAAATTTTGCTCGAACTTTCCCTTGGTCATGGTGGTTCAGCAGATAGTGGATCAGTAGATCAAGTTCAGTCTTCGAAGAAGCACTGCCCTTCAGAATCAGATGGTCTAATCATTGGAGATGATTTTGGCGCTGACCTATATTATGGAGATGATGTGCATACAGACATGTATTTTGATGACCCAGCGCTTACGGAGTATGCCATTATGCAATCACATTTTGATCATATGGATATTCCACCTGGTGTTGAGGTTCCAATCCCGTGGATGTCCGGTCCTGCTGAAGCTAAAATGGCGCCAACCGCTACAACCACATGGTCCACATCATCCGCTTCGAAAGCTATGAGTTTTCCTTTTGGAAAAGAAGCCCCTAAGGTACTAAGGCACCAGTCCACTTCATGGTATGGCTCAACTCCTGTTAGTCAGCCTACGCCATTTGAGCTATCTTCCTCGTCTCTGGGACCTGCTTTTTGCAAGAGTAGACTTTCTGCCAAAGGAAAGTTACAAGAGACAAGTTGTAAAGAACAAAGTGGTTCTACAAACCTAACACTTGGGGCAGGAAAATCTTTTAATGCTCAAGGATCTTCTTTTAAAAGGAAGTTTCGTTTTTTCGAGGGAACTGCCTCTGACAGTTGGCATACTCAATCTATACCTGGTGTATCTCATTTCCCTGAAGTTCAATTTGTACCTCCACAAATGCCTGGTTGGACAAATTTACCCTTTAATATGACAACTGCTCCAGCTTCTTCAGGGTCTATGCTCGCACCAGGTGGTATGAACTCTCTCCCTATGCAACAGGTGCATCCGGCATATATGCTCCCAAAAGGTGGTCTGAACTCTCTCCCTCTGCAACAGGTTCATCCGGGGGTTATTTTCACAACAGATGCTATGAACTATTTCCCTCAGCAACAGATTTATTCGGGATCTGTTCTCGCACCAGGTCCTACGTACTATTTCCCTCAGGAAATGGATCATACACTCTGGACTCAGGGTCTGCACGAGAGTGTAACTACTACAGAGAGTTCATCAATTCAGTCTGGATCAGTTTCTAGTGAGGGACAGCGTAGAGATTTAGGTGAAAGTCTGAAGAATTTCCGTCTCTTCAAAAAATTTGATACTGTTCAAGATCATTCGGACCATTTCTTTTCTGGACTTGCATCCCTTGACAACCAGGTTGGCATAACTGAAAACATGTGGTTAATAATTTTGATTACTTGTGCTTCATCTTATTACTAAATATTTGTCACTTTGCTGTAGGCCTCTAAGAGTTGCGCCAAGAGAATACAGGAGGAATGGAAGATACTGGAGAAAGATCTGCCTGGTAATATGAGCAATTATTTTGTCTTCCATAGCATTTCTACCTGGTCTGTGATGATTGTTTTTATCATCAAGCCATTGAATTACATGCTCATAAATTTGTCTAAGTAATTATTTTTTGAGGAGCTCAGCAATAATGTGAATTAGAGATAAAAAAAAAAACTTGCCTGGTGTATATTTTTTGTAATGACACTCACTTGAGCGCCTTTTCATGAGCAGATACCATATTTGTCCGGGTGTATGAAACAAGAATGGATCTGTTGAGGGCAGTGATTATTGGAGCTGATGGAACTCCGTACCATGATGGCCTTTTCTTCTTTGATGTTTTCTTCCCTAGCAACTATCCCAATGCTCCACCAGTATGTGTCTACCTATCAAGATGTCTTATTTTATCTGTGAAAATGTTATAATTTTCCCTTTTTCTACATAAAGTCTAACGCTTTCCTAACTATTGTTTCCAGCATGTACACTATCATTCTTTTGGTCTTCGTATCAATCCGAACTTGTATGAATGTGGAAAAGTGTGCCTGAGCCTTCTCAACACATGGGGCGGTAGAGCGAAGGAGAAATGGATCCCTGGTGAATCAACTATGCTACAAGTTTTGGTTTCCATACAAGGGCTAATTTTGAATGCAAAGCCCTATTTCAATGAGCCTGGATATGCAAAGATGAGTGGATCAGCCATGGGGGAAAATTGCTCAGTACAATATAATGAGAGCATTTTCATTTTACATCTCAAAACAATGGTTTACTGTATGAGGCGACCACCACAGGTATATGTTTGTTCATGACCATCTATTACTATATAAGCTTTTCAATTATGCTTTATGACATTATTTTCTTGGAGTTAATTTTAAATACGATTACTGAACTTTGTCAGCTATAACAGTAAAGTGACTGAGTTTTAGTCACTAAAAAGGTAAAAGTACAAAATTATTTTGTCACATTAAGCAAACTGGGTTTTATTCACTATGACAATAAAGTCAAGACTTTACCACTATAACGACTACTTACCAATCAAGGTGTAGTTATAATGGGTAAAGCTCAGTGACCACGCAACTTGATTTTCTTGATAAAATACTAGTTGTCTTGTGGCTTTGGTCTTAAATCAACTACTCTCTCTTGCTGCAGCATTTTGAGGATTTTGTTGTAGGGCATTACTTTCAAAGTTGTCATGATATTCTTGTGGCATGTAAAGCATATATGGATGGTGCTCAAGTAGGTAGCCTTGTTAGAGGATGTGTTCTGGATGCTGTTGAAGGTGACAAAAAAAGTTGCTCACAGGGTTTTAAGGCCATGTTGGCTGGATTCACCCAGACACTTGTAGATGCATTTACAAATATTGGCGCAAAGGATTGTGACAAATTTCTTCCCTTGGCACAAAAGGCGTCAACTGGAGTAGCGCCACCAGTTAACATAGAGAGCTGCTGACCATATATAGACTGAAGATATTAGTAGAGGTGCGCGTAAACTAGCCTGGACACCACAATTAAAAAAGTAAACATTGTTATACCTAATGTTGACAAACTAGTTTTGAACTTGCATCATGCAGCCGAGTCTCCATGTTTTTTGGTGATATTTTGTATATGGCTGTTATGACAGTTTATACAACTAATCGATCAAATTACTTTTTTGTTTAGCTTTAGCTCATGATTGTTGCTACAATTTTGTAGCGTACTCAAGTCTCAACCGTTCTTTCTTTTTTTTCTGGCTTTGTCTATAGACATTAAATATAAAATGGAAAAGGTCTAAATATTCCCTTGAAGTATGTGAAATTAAGCGAATTTGTTCATCGTTGATACATTGGCTCAAACATGTCCCTGCCGTCCAATATTTTCTCCAAATATGCCTTTATTTTAAACGGCGTCATATGGAGGATAGATGTACGCAATAAAGTGAAAGGTTGTAATAATAAACTACCTATCAAATCGATTGATTTCCTTCAAAAAAGAGAAATAAATTGTAGAAAACTTAAACCATTTTGTTCGAAGAGAAACCTATATAGTTCTCTTGTATTGTATTTTGTTTTTATGCTTTACTTTTTGCTATTGAGTTGAGATTTGACATACTTGATTGATATAGTTGATTTAATTATTGCCTATAGTGGCTAGGCTTGTCTATTGTATTAGTTTTTATTGTTATGATGTTGAAAATGGCTAGTTAGTGGTATTTTGAGGCATATGAGGCCGTTGAGACATTTATTGATATATGTTTTCCAACAAAATAGTTTAGCTTTTTCTATACTTTGCTTCTCTTTGTTCGTGTTTGAGACTTACAGGCGGAAATCAATTGATTTGAGGAGGATTTTATCATTACAAATTTATAGTACATTGTCATGAATCAAACGAGATAACTCAATAACGTAAAAGTTTAAGAACTTTAATGAGCCAAATATGCCCTCAAAGTATTCACGTGAGACCAAATATACCTTCAAAGTATGCGCGTGAGATCAAATATATCTTTTATATGGCGCCACTTAAAATAAAGTCATATTTGGAGCAAGTATTGGACACAGGGCATGTATATGCCAAAGTATTAATGATGAACAAATTTGCTCAATTACGTATAGTTCAAAGGCGTACTTTGACCAATTCGAATATAAAATTCGTCAAACTCTAGTGTCTCCATTTGGTTAGGAACATAATCATATTGAAAATATCTTATCTAATTTGTTTTTTTGAAAAATATTTCAACTCACTAACCATATACGGAAAGACATTTTTGTGCCTTCGTGGTACTAAATCCACTATAAATTTGTGTAAGTTTGCCTTTAGTTAATTAATTAAAGTTATTTTATAGGGAATAATAATATTTCTATAACACGTGTTAGCATTGAGGGGTCGTTTGGTAGGAGGTATTAGAAAAAATAATGCAAGCATTAGCTTTGTGCATTACTAATACCTTGTTTGGTATATTTTTTCAACCTATGTATAACTAATACTTGCATTAGTTATACATCATACTTGATATTAGCCTATGTATAAGTAATGCATAGAAAACCATGACATTAGTAATACCAAGGCTATTAATGCATGCATTAGTATGGTTAAAGACAAAATTGTTCTTAAAGTCCCTTAAAGCTAGAGAATATGGAGGGCATTTTTGTAAACAATTATTTTTCTTAAAAATTATGCAATGCATTATAATTTTTAATACACCACACCAAATAGTTTATAAGAGATAATATCTGCATAACTAATGCTAGCATTACTAACTCATGCATTACTAATCACTGCATTACTAATACACTGTATTCTGCACTATTCTCGTCCATTCATATCTGATTACACATGAAATTTATGAAATAGATTGACTTTGAAAATAATATGATTTAAAATATGCATGGGAACTTTTTTTAACAATAAATTATTTTATTAAAGTAAAATAAAAATTTAAAATTAGATTATTTTTTAAATATAAAAAAAAGTTTGAAATTGACTAAAAAGGAAGTACGCCAAGTTTTTAAAAAAGGCTTAATGTATACTTATTAGTTACTAGTGAGTTATGCCCGAGCTTAGCCCGGGCCCAACGGCTGGACGAAGCTTCACGTCAGCAGATTCATGAATATTTTTATTTCATGTCGAAATTATCAAAATGAATAGCAGAAGCAGCAACTACACCTAAAAAAGGAAAGTGCATAATGTGTTTCAAATAAATACATTTCTGTAGCTACAAATCAATGTCATTATAGAAAGTTTAAAGGTAAATTATCTATAAATATTAAAAAGTCATTTTTTTAAAACATAATAAAAAGGAAAGAGTATGATGGACGAATTTCTTGAGGCAGATATTGTTGGGTGTTGTGACGGAGAATCCACACTGAACACATCTAAAGTTGAATCTCTTTTGCACTTTCAGTACTACATTTGATTTCCATTCTGCACAAAAGCTTACTGTAAAAATAAAATAAAAAACAAAAAAGTTATATATCGAGGGTAACGAATTTAGACATAAATTATTTACCAGAAGGTTAATCAAGCTTGAGCAGGGCAGAGTCACAAGCTACATGTACATGGGCTGCTCCCCATGTAAACATTTGAAAGAGTTGGTCTTTAGAATATGCAATGAAATCAGTAGACAGAACGACGAACTACGATATATACTACGATGACATAAATCGTAACAATTACAATTCCTAGTTAATCCTTGGCAAGAGTGCTTTAGATTTTCAATTCCTCTAAAACTAAGCTATCTATAAGTATAGTACTTATGCATAATTGTGATATTACAAACAGATGAAAATTATGTTCATAGCCAGGCATCGCATGTTGGATGGTAAGTAGTTTCCTATGATGCAATATGTTAAATCGTCAGTTTATTTTTTTCCCGAATAGAAGAGGACACAGAAGTGGCATATTCCAAGAATATCCATTCAGTCAGGTTACCATTTGGTTTTTACATTCAAATATAGCTGCAAAATGTAGTCCGATGAGATCAAAATTCACCAGGTATAAGACTTGCAAATCTAATGACTTCCAAATAGATATTTTCATATTTGCACATGCAACAACATAATCACGATATGAGAGGATCAAATCCATTTAAACAGTCAGCTTTAGCCTAAGAGATTCGTTAGATAAGAATGTTCACCAGAAACAAAGTTTGCGATACAGATTCAAACTTCAACGAGAATGTCTATAAGTAAATCAAAAGAGAAAGAAAGATTTTCTTACATTGTATAACTCCAGATTAGTATCTTTTTTCTGGAAATATGGTTAACCAGAAATTATTATATTCGCGATATAAGCGATATTTTTGTTTGTTTGTTAACTTACTGGATAATAAACATCCTATTTAGACATGTATAAATGTTAATTACTTTCCACTTACAAAGATATTTTTCTCTTGACTATCTACCTATCTACTTTAGTTTCTTCCTTCCTAACTAACTTCGGGTTCAATGATGTCGAGAGTGCGGACATCGGGATCACCTCATCGACCGCGAATATTTCTTTTGCGGCCGGATGTTCTCCATAAACTGTCTTAATCTCTCCTGGTGTGGGGAACTTCAATGCCTGGTGTAGTGTCTAAGGTATTGCCCTCAAGTTGTGAATCCAAAGCCTTCCGAATATAGCGTTATACCTCATATCCCTTTAAATGACGTAGAACTTTGTTTCATGAATGGTTTCAGCGGTGTTTACTGGCAGGGTTATCTCCCCTTTAGTAGTTTCACATGCCATGTTGAATCCTTTTAAGACCCGGACTGCAGGCACAATTTGGTCTTGTAGAACCAGCTGCTCTACGACCCTCGATCTGATGATATTGGCCAAGCTACCTAGATCAATAAACACACGCTTAACTCGAGATTTATTTATGAGTACAGAAATTACCAGTGCATCGTTATGTGGTTGCACGATGCCGTCAGCGTCTTTATCGTTGAAATAGACGGTCCCCTACGGCATGTAATCTTGGGTTCACTTTTCTCTTATGATGGACACCTTAGTGCGCTTCAGCATTGGCCCTTGGGGAATATCGACTCCACCAATTATCATATTGATGACGTGTTGAGGTTTCTCTTGTTCGGTCTGCTTGTTGGAGTCCCTATTCTTGAAGTGATTCTTGGCTCGATCACTTAGAAATTCCCGAAGGTGTCTGTTATTGAATAACTGGGCCACTTCTTCTCTTAGTTGTCTGCAGTCTTCGGTCCTGTGGATGTGAGTGCCATGATACTTACATATCAGGTTGGGGTCTCTTTGGGCAGGATCGGACTGCGATAGTCGAGGCCACTTGGTATCATTGATGTGTCTGATGGTTGATACGATGCCGGCAACATCGACGCTAAAGTTGTATTCTGATAACCTCGGTGCCTCCCTTGCCCCGACTGGCCTGTCGAAATTATTTTTGCTCATGAGTCCCCGGTTATTATGACCTCGATCGCTCTTTTTTTCATTCCTCGCAGGGTTAGGTCTGGATCTTCTGCCCCTTTGATCTTCGCTATACGGTTGATACCGATCTATGCTTGGTATTGGTTCATGATCGACGATTCTTTTAGACCTGTCATTAGTTATGATGGGATATACGGACCCAGAGGGGGCCCGAGCTGATCATCCTCGACTCTGATTTTTCATTGGTACCTGTTATGTACGTCAGCCCAAGTTACCGCCGGGTACTCTACCAAATTATGTTTCAGCTGCTGTGAAGCCAAGGAGCTTTGGGGGTTGAGTCCTTGAGTGAATGCTTGAACGGCCCAATCGTCTGCAACCGGAGACAAGTCCATTCTTTCCATTTGAAACCTCGATACAAATTCCCTGAGCATTTCGTTATCTCTTTGTTTCACTTTAAAAAGGTCCGATTTTCTGGTCTCGACTTTGATGGCCCTGGCATGAGCATTTACGAAGGCATCTACAAGCATAGAAAATGAATCAATAGAATTAGAGGGTAGGTTGTGATACCATATCATTGCTCCTTTAGATAGGGTTTCTCCAAACTTTTTCAGCAGCACCGACTCGATTCTATCATATTCTAAGTCATTTTCCTTGATGGAACATGTGTAGGAGGTCACGTGTTCAGTCGTGTCATGCCCCAACCTCGAGAGGCACGACCGGCGCTCAACCGAGTGAACCCGTCCGAGCAAGCCTGTTAGATACTTTCTACCCAACTCACCCATGATAAGAGAAGGCATGTTTTTATTAGCTAACCAGTACAAGGAGCATATGCATAGACATTACCAAACCATTTCATTTTTGCTACTTCCTATTAAGTTTCAAAAAGGTATACATTTTGTGATTTAGTGGAACAAAAATCAAAAATACAACATAATTCGTTTGGCCTTTCTAGTACCCATATACAACTCACATAGCGTCTACGTAGCCTCTAAAGATACAAAACAGAGTCAAGATGGTGCCGACAACAAGGCCCCGACTATACCTCAAAAGTGACCACAATATAAACAAAAGGTACTATACATGACCCCAAAATAAAATGGGGCTCACCGAGTCCGCTGAAAAGAGGATGCAGCACTATCTGTGATCAACACTGCCTGCTATGTAACCACCTGTATATATTTAAAGATGCAGTGCCCCCGGCAAAAGGGACGTTAGTACTGTCGAATAGCACTAGTATGTAAAGCTAAACACCAACTCAATAGAATGAATAATAATACAAGAGGAACAGTCAAGAATTCAATAAGGGCTTCAAATAATATTAAAACAACAAGTTAAGGATCATATATGTTTTCAAGTCAATTTCCATATTATTAGGTTGTGTGATCTTTAGTACCGATATTCCACAATTCACAATACCTCCGTATTCTTACACGGAGTACGATCTCGATCCGATCGACTATGTCGTCTCATTTGAGACATTACCACAATTTCATTATAATTTTCAGGACAGTACCACCATGTATGCGGCATGGCGTCCGATTACGGCCCGATCGGCTAGGCCATCTCATTTAAAACATTACCATAATTTCATCCACAATACCATCATGTTCTTACACGGAGTCCGATCTCAGCCTGATCGACTAGGCCATCTCATTTGAGATATTACCTTCTTCAGTCAATCATCTCACATCGTACTTCTTAACAATTACAAAGTCATTCTTGGCACTTGGACATATTTCATAGTTCTAGTTCCCTTTTCCACGTTCAAATATCATTATCATTATCAACATCAATATGGCTTCCCATTCAAGACATTAATTCACATATGAGCAATTTAGGAAATCTTAGGCACATAGAGGCCTTTCATATAATTTGGCATAACAACCTTTATTTCGTTCTTGACATGAAGTTTTAACATTCCTAACACATATTCCATATTTTTGAACATATTCTCAAATGGCAAGATGACATGATGAAGCATTTAGAATAAACATTGAACAAACATCCTTCAACACAACCACATTAGGAAAAGCCAATTCAATAATGATCAAGGACTTACTCCAATTACATGAATACCGTGGGATTCGATTCTAAGAAGAAGGGGGTTTAGCCAACATACCTCAATTGAGCTTCTCAACTATAAAATGATCCGGAATTCTTAGCAACTTCAATCTATTTTAGAAATGTAATAAGTTGAACCAAAAATTAGGAAGATGATTATGGTTTTAGCTCATTTGAGCATTTTATCAAACACTAGGTGCGTATTAACGTTCTAAGGCTCTTTTGTGGAAGATTCCATCACTTTCCAACCCACTCTCTACCATTTTTAGCTCGCAATCTTCCCACATACTTCAAGAATACATTCATGCAAGACAACAACCTCCCACACCCAATAATTGCCTCTCTAATTACCCCATTTTTACAAGATTACGAAATTGAGAGCTAGGATAAAGATTCTTACCTTTATGGTGAAGACTTCCTTTTTTAATCCTCAGTGATTGAGCAAGAATTGATGGGTAATAGTTAAAGATTGATCCCCCACTCTAAGAACTCTCACTCTCACTCTAAAATATCAGAAATGTGCTCAAAATGGTCTATGGGGTATGTTTTAACGGAATTGGGTCGGGTTTAAAAACCCCCAAAATAAAGCTCTGGAACGGGTTCTGCGGTCGCATATGCAACCGCATAATGGTTATGTGATCTGCGAAATGACCGCGAAACTGGGTGCCAAAACTGGAAAAAAACTGACCTGGTCTGCGGTCACTATGCGGCCCGCAGAACGGTTCTGCGGTCGCATAGTGCACCGTAGAACCTCCCTTTGAAAAATTCCATGGCGGGATATGCGACAAGAATGCGGCCCGTAAAACGGTTATGCGATCGCATAATGATTGCGAAATTGGGTATCAAAAATGCCCCAGAAATCTGCCCCGCTCTGCGATGAGTCTGTGGTCCGCAGAGTGGTTTTGCGGCCGCAGAATGAGCCGCAGAAATACGTACTTCTGCCCAACGTTTTCCTTCAACTCCCCAACGCACTGTTTAACCCAAAAAGTCTGAACTGTGATATAACCTCTACGCCTATTTTGGCATCACGGAAACCGAATTTTTAGGAAAACTTTTACGGAGCCTTATAAGTCAGATCTGTGGTCCCGTTATACTTTGGAATTTCGGGCATACGAAACTTCTTTGGGATTGGTTTCGGAGCTGCACTCGGAGGGAAAGGCTTTTAGACAAATTATTTGGAATCCATGCCTTTCAGTATCAGTGGTGCTCCTGGGATTTTATCAACCTTGCAGTTAGGTCTCCACTTTTTTGTCGTTGGCTTTGATCTTATTTTTCCCCGATTCCACCCTCTTTTTCAATACCTCAAGCATCTTTATTATTTTGGGGTTGGTCCCGGATTCCACTTCACCTAGCCTTTCTGTGGCTGGTTCATTTTTGCGGGTGTTTTCCAGGGATAGTTCGGGCTAGACTCTGTTAGGGGCGCAGCTTTGGTTCTGCAACTGGGCTATAACCGCTTGTTGAGCTTGTAACATTTCGAAGATCATCCATAAATTGAACTATCGCCTTCGCCATCGTGTGTACCCCGGGCTATCGATCGGGCTCCCCCGCGAACGCTGTTTTCAGGGTCGGTAAGAAAATTTGTGTCGATAGTCAGATGTGAGTTGGCATTGATTGGGTCCGCGACTAGAACTCCATTGGGGTCAACAGGAGGCACCTCGTTGCTAGGCACTACATTGTTGTTCTCGCCATGTTGGCCAGACTCAGCATCAACGTTCAAATGAGCAGATTGAGATTTGACATTTTTAATTTGACCTGAAATTAAAATCTCAAAGAACAAGCATAAAACAGAGTGCATTATGGAAACTTGTATCAAATTACCACTATTATCCCTAGCCCCACGGTGGGCGCCAAACTGTTTACCCTAAAAAAAATAGATAACAATTGAATTTGTATATGGTTTTAAGAATATGTGGATTAATTCAATACGAGTGATTAATAACGTTAGATTAAGTAAATGAAAGACGTAATAAATGGTTAAACCAATGATAAGAATGATTCCGAGCTCGGTTGATGGCTCAATGAGGAAACTACCCTCGATTCCAAGCTTGCACTTATGAAGAACTTGAGAACAAAAATAAGAACTTAGAACAACAAAGAGTATTGAAATAAATTGCCTTGGTATGCGTGTTACTATGTCTTTTATGAATAATAAGCTTTCCCCTTTATACAGTAGGGGAGTTTTACCCTAAGTACAATTTTAAGAAAGATAATAATCTTCCATTTCACTAATCACTGATTTTATGCTGATACGGGCCGAGATTCACGTAGTGATATTTGGTTGGGCATCACGGCCTTTTGTTAGTCATGTGCGGATGTTTGGTAATGCTCTCCGAAGACTTGATCCTTAAACCGGACCCGGAGGACATGGCTCTGATACCCTCGAGGGCAGGTGCTTTGCTCGAGCCCCGATACGAGGGGTTGCTCGCTCTTACTCCGATTCATTACAGTCACGTCCTTGCTCTATTTGCCTCACCGAAAAATCGGGGTGCTCATTGGGCTTGGTTTTACCCGTATATAAGTATGTCTATTTTTGTAAAATAGTATGGCGCCCGCAACATTTAAATTATAAACCTGCCTCTTACACCAATCGTGTAAAAAATCTTTACACTATCGATGCATATAATATAAATCCTTTTTTGATTATTCTCTGATAAATTAGCATGAGGAGAATAAGTAAGGTATAGCTAGCAGTAGTGTTCGAGAAAACACAACGATTCAAAAATTGTGGTCTCTTAACTATTAAATTGTTCGAGCTGACACTGTCAAAGAAAGCGCTCAGCTTAAAATGGATCAAAGAGACTATAGGAATGAAAATAAGCTAGCGTTTGACTATAGATTCCTAAATTTATTTAAAAATTTTTGATTTGGGTGAAGTTTGGTTTGAAGATGAAAATCTGTTTGGACATAATTTTTCAAAACATACTTTATTTTTTTTTTTTGAAAAACATAAAATGTGACTTATACCCATAAATTTTAAAAACTATTAAAAATACCCAACTCTGAAGAAAATTCATACAAAAGAAGCGAAACAAATCTAAAAAAAATTTATACAAATATTAGCAGATTTTAGCAAATTACCTTCAAATTTTGTCTTTGCAGTGGATTGCCATGGATTGGCACAACTTTGGCGAAGGTTTTCTTCTGTTTATATAGAAGGGCAAAGCCGCGTGAGTTTAATGAGTGAAAAGTGAGTAGATATGGATTAGTTGAGTTATAATAATAGAAAGTGGGCTTTTTTATAAAATACAAAAGTTTAGGGCAATTTTTAAAATTTTTTTAAAAACCAAACGGTAATATTTTGGGCCAAAAATAGCTCTTAAGCTAGTTTTGGGATTTGAAAATTTGCCAACTAATGGATAAAATCTATAAGCAAACAGGTATTTATCAAAAAAAAATTTACAAAATCTATGATCAAGCGGGGGCTAAGAGTGTTGGAGCTAGCTAACACGAAAAATGTTTATATTTGCGATTAAATCAATTTATATAATTAACTTTTGTGTGCATGTAAATGAAATTTTTTGTTTCTTCTATCTCGAATAAATTACAATAGAGCTCACTTTATGATTACTAATTTCTATTATAATCACGCAAATCACGGACAAATTCACTACCTTAATAACAAGTTCACACTTCACACATTTGAACTGAAATTTCATTTCCAGTCGTATTCACCCGAGACTTCTTATTCATATACTCTAGAGTATATTCACTTAACCGATAGTATTTTTACAAAATAGATTCTCTATCGATTTTCAATTAGAAATAAGGAATTTATTGAGGGCAACAGCTTTGCCCCTAACTCTCCTTGTAGTTAAAAGAAGATGCCTCAGTTCAGCCCATGTAAAAGATTCATATTTTCTTGGATTAGAAAATGGATTAATAAGCTGAGGAGGGCATTCAATAGTTGCACTGCTTGTTGGACTCATGAAATATGCTATTGATAGCCTCTGCTTCTCCTTATTCACTACTGCCCTGTGTATAACACTCTTTAATCTTCCATTTGTCCAAGCCTGCTAGAAAAACAAAAGGACTATAATTACTTGAAAGTTGAAAATACAAAGATGTGCATTTGCATGATGTAAGTCATTTTTTCATGAAATTCATGGAAAATAATTTCTTTCGAAAATGTTTTCTGGTGTTTATTGGTGAGTTATTTTTACTAAAAAGTACATATTAAAAATTAATAATAATATTACCAAATCAGATAGTACTTTGAAGAAACTTCTTGGTATTAAAAATTGATAGGAATAAGTAATAACAATGTCAAAATGTTGGTTGGAACAAGTGATGGGAAATTAAGATTTAAGATAATCGTAAAGAATTAAAATTGCTTCCGTCCATAAGTTAGGGACCTGATTTTTCGCTTTTTAATAGAAAATATTTTCCTGAAAAATGATTTCCGTCATACTGAAAGAAGGGGCGGAGCCAGCCCTTCCATAAGCTTCAAATTCTGGCTCCGCCTCTGCCGAAAAAGACACACATAGAGAGAGAATGACCTCAAGGGTGTCACCAATATTGATGACAAATGAATTTGCAAGAGGTCTAACACCAACCCATTGTTTGTCATTCTTGAGGACTTGAAGACCACCAACTTGGTCTTGATGCAATATGGTTAAGGTTTGGGGATCTGAATGAATCCCTATCCCTACTATCTTTTCTGGGAGAGGACAAGGAGGATATCTGCTTATCCTAAAATATGTAGCCTCCTTTTCTTCAAAGTTTTTGCTGAAGAAGTCATTTTCAAGGCCTAATCCATGTGCCAACATCTCAAATATAATCATTCCTAGCTTGTCCATTTCTTTCATGTACTCTATCATTGCATTGCTGTGTTATCAGAGTCAAAATCAGCATTTTTGGCATAATAATATATAGTGCATCCATGCATATATAAATCTTGATTGTTGAGCCAATTAGCTCGATCAAGAGCAGCACATACAACAACAACATATCCAGTGTAATTCCACATATGGCGAGCAGCACATAGGATTGAGTAAATAAAATTATACTCTATCTAACCATTTAAACTTATATGAAGTATAGTCACACAACTTAACAGTTAACATAATAGTATTTATTAGAGCGGGCCTCGATTATGAATTAAAATCTCACTACCACCCTTCATCAAGATAGAATTTTAACGTGTTTGGCCTATCAAAATGAATCAGACTCGTGCATGGAGGAGCATGTTGAAGATATAATAAAATAATAAAATCAATAATAAGTATTTTCTCAAACATATTATACATTTAAATTAGATCGTTACATAATTTAATATTGGATAGGATATAAGTTTTACATTGTATATATACGTACCTAAATGTGTGATATTGGTCACCATAGACCTTTTTCGCGAATTCGACAACCATTTCTGGTGACTGCAGCAGCTGTAACACTTCAGCCCAAGGCAAGTTTTGCCCATACTCAGGATTTGAGGCATAATACCCCAATGGCAAATTTGATGTTTTCCCACCTTTGAGTTTTTGTTCCATAGGAAAATCAAAAAGCTCGTGCAAACGAGTGGTATAATTTTCAACAATTTCATTAGGCACCCCATGATTTACAAGCTTAAAGAATCCCCATTTTTCACTTGCTTTCACCATAACTTGACAGATATTTTCGTAAAATTCTTGATTTTCCCAAATACCATTGTTAAGACTAATCACTGGAATATCGTCGTTTACGCCTCCGAAATCGTCGTGCTTTAATGTAGGCCATTCTTCCTCAGACCAAATGAAGTTTTTGACTTGCATTTTGTTGTTTCCATTCATTGAAAGTGTATCAACGCTCTCTTCTTCAATTCCAGGTGACATTGTGAGTAAGTACTCAAGAATATGTATGACTTAACGTCTTTTGCGTCTCTGTATAACACTCTTTTGGTCCAATTACTTATATATGCAGAAAATTCGAGGTGTCTTTTTCGGGCTAGAGATAATATAAAGATTTAGGAAAAGAAAATGGGAATCTTGCATTGTTGAGAACTTTGTTATCTTGTGCAGAACCCTATTTACGTGCCCTTGTAGCCACCAATGTACCGAACAAAACATCTCTAGGATTCTTCGTTACTAAGACATCTTCTAAATGACAACTTTTTTTTCTGTGGAAAACGTTCATTAATCAAGACACATGTAAATGTCATGTTTAAGCAAATAAAAACTCTATGAATCTCGACCAAAAAAAAAAATGAAACTGAAAAGAAAAGCATCAGTATATCAATGATCTAGAAACTCTAATGGAAATAAAAATGAGCATAAAATACTGATGCACACTGGGTATACTGAGTTCAGCTATGGTTAAACAGATATGCTAACACCAAGCGTTACAATGGGATAGATAAGATACTTCTACCTTTAATTAAAGGTCTCGAGTTCGAGCCTTGAAAATGAAAAAAATGTTAATAGGGAGTGTTTCCCTTTTAATGGGCCTAAAGCGGCGCCATTAGTCGGATTCCAAGATGAGTACCAGACACGGCTGGAAAATTAAAAAGAAAAGATGTATGTTGAGTGCATCCTTTTCTATTGCCTTTCTGAATGAAATTAAGTTTCACCCATCATCAATACAAAAACAAACATAAAATGGAGCAAAGCATACTGATGCACATTCGGTATACTGAGTTCAGGTTTTGGCTTGTCGCCCCTTCCAGTAACAGATTCTCATTTGTTTTGTGCCTTTCTCATTTTCGTACTCTATTTTTTTTTCCTTTGACTTCTTGTATCTCATTACTTATTTGCAACGCTTCAAATACTAATCCAGATTTCTTAAAATAGAAATTGGTTTTGAGCTCCTTTAACATTCTTTCAATATATAGCATCAAGGGGAGAATTTTTCAGTAAACTCAGAGAACAGGTATGAGCAAGAAAATAGTATAACGGTTTCCACAAAACATGGCTAAGAGTTTACAGCGGTGCAATCCCAACCTATGAAGGAGAAGATGGCTGTTTAAGAAAAAATAGCAGCAAGCACAAGAAAAAAGAAAGCATGAGCTGAGGCGCTCGGGGACCGAGGGGCGGGGGATGACAGTCTAAATGCAAGTAATTTTGTAACTAGAGATTAACATCATTATGGTGGAGCAGAGTGTAAAAAGATGGAGGGCAGATAATGTTACAGAATAGTACATGAACCAGGTTTTAACTCAACTAGCCTAGTAATATCTAGTAAGACAGAAGCGCAGACTTGCTGAAGAATCTGCAATCATATTTGCTCAACAAAATGGAAAGCAGAACAAGTAGCCTAAGGCAGCCTAGAACAAAATTTTGAAGGACCTCATCTACATAGGAATATCGGGGTCCAAACGTCTTTGAATAGCAGCTGCAGCCTATCAGGACATCAGAAAATACGATCAATGACTGGAAAAAGAGTAGTGTATGATCAATTAGAGTCTCATGAAATGGCAGGATTATTCTCACCTCGAAGTTGCCAAGCTTATATTGATAAGCCATCTCTTCTTTTAATAGAGCTTGTTCTTTCATTGCTTGTGCCTTCAGAGATTCAAATTTACAAAAGAAAAAAAGGAATTGTCATATCACGAACTTTCACTTGTTATATGGAAAAGGACAAAGTTAGCAGAAAATATACCATTCCACTCTGCATCTCCCGCTTCAATGCTTCCACCTGTTCTTCTTTGTGCTTTTCACGTTCTCGCAGCACAGAATCAGAATAGGTCCAGTCCAGGGGACAAATCAATAGGAAATGCTATTTGCTTCGTAAGAATAAGAATTCACTTCTGCCTACAGAAGCATATTAGGTAACAAATCAAGAACTAAGCCTATACAATTGAGTGCACAGATGAAACTTACCTTCTTTTTTCCCTTTCAATGACAAAAGCTATGCTCTATAACTTATCTTCAGTAAACAATACTCTAGTATGTTTAACTATAAGGTACTTGCTAACCTAGGATTATATGGCTTCCAGGATGCTAGAATAATACCACCATCTTTTGGCATTATAATGTGGTCCCACTTCTGAAAGATTAAACTACGGTAATGGCGCAAAGCTATAAGCTATACCACTACGGAAGGATAGTGATTCTGTTAAAAGAGTTTCAAAGAGCAAGACCACATTAGAACAATGGAAGGTTTCTTGGTGACTCCCAAATGACTTCATAGTTTTCTTTTTTTTATAAAATCTGTTGTTTTATTATCGGAACTCGGGGAATAACGGGCACACCCCTCTAGCCTTCTCCAATTTAATACCAGACTTGGTTCCCATACAGGATTCAAATTCGTGACGTGCCCCCAATTGACTTCATACTAGTCATAGTAGCCAATCTAAAAATGACCGTTTTTAATGAAACGGCGACAGAGACTCTGGCCAGTAAGTAGCATGAATTGGAATCATGAAAGTTGGTTCCAGATGATTCAACGAAGCAGGACTTCCAACATCAGCAAATAAATGCCAACTTACAAAAGAGAGCAAAGAATGTTAAGCAGCACATAACTAACTTACCTGCGCTGTTCTTCATCATCGAAGACGGTACGTTCAGTATCCACGACCTTCTTGATACCTCTTTTGTTTTCCTTTTCCATTTTACGTCTATAATAGGCATCAAGGTTATAATACCTGCAACCATGAAGAATAACAAAAGTACTGTTAGATGATTAAAAGCATTGCAATTGCTGACACACTTGGATAAAAAGCATCTTTACACCTGTCTCTGTGTGTATGTACAAACACACAACTTCCCAGAAGGAACTAGAAGCTTCACACCCAAACATCCAAACTCTATACGATATTCATAATCAATATAGAACGGAAGCCCCACACCTCACCCAAAAAAAGCAAAAAGAAAAAGAAATTGGATTGAAATAGTGCAGTAGCCTTACTTTTTAGAAGGGAAGGTTGCAGTATTATGATCCTCCATGAATCTACACAATAACTGACTGTCAAAAACTGGAAGTTCCTTGCATATATTGCTTAAAAAGAGGTATAGAAAAGGGAGGATCAAGCGCTAATAATAACTAACTTTTCCCTTCTCGATTTACTTACTGCTTGAATAATTGCTTCTCTTCCCAGTTTGGCAGACTCTCCAGATTCACCTATAAATGACACGAGCAATGAAAACTTCCACAACTAGATGTAATATCTTATACAGACTTGTCTAGAAAGAGAACATAGATAAGTATTGTGCAATGGGAGCTTTTTCAGGAGGACCTTTGAAAATGCACTATAGTGCACTAGAAAGAAAATGTTTGACCTATTCAAAAAATTTATAAAAACAATTCCCGCATGAATGATCAACATGCATAGGCTTAAAGAGTCACTATGTACCTGCTTTATTTCTGCTAACCATGCGGTAAACTCTGGTCGCTTGTTCCTACAATAAAGAAACATATAAAAGTTGAGTAGGGCAGCAAGGACTAATTCTGGCTACACCCCTGTAAAATTATTTATAAACTTAATATCAACACTGCAACTGCCTGAAATACGGAGGAAGAGGATCTGGGTTATTTTGGTTTTTCCTTTTTCTTTTTTTCCTGTTTTGTTTGGGCAGGGGCTTTTGTTCATCCCTGATGATATTAGGGCAAAAAGAGCTACTATAAAGACTGACCGGAAAGAATACAGGACTGTAACAAAGGCAACAATGACAAGAAAAAGCAACTAAAATTGAGATAAGATTACTCGGGAGGTTGGAGACTGGAGTGCAGTAATTACGATGGCATAAGTTGCATGGGGCAGCAAATGGATGACTAGTCAAGGCTGATAAAGCAACTTTCAAAGATGAGATACGAATACCTCTTTTCCTTCTTTGTTTGTTTTCCTGAAGAATAAGATCTCTATGGTGAAGTTAAAAATATGCAGCCTAAGCGAAATGTTTAGTAGTTTGGTTTGGCTACCAAAGCTTAGTCGGGCAATAGTTTGGCTGATCATTGGCCGGTTACATGTTCTATATGAAACTCAAAAGCTACCTGCTTGCACCACCTTTGGTGCCTTTATTCACTTGCAAGAGGAAAAGAAAAACAATATGTTCTGCTTACATCAAAAAAGGATACAGCACATTAAATGCCATGTAAGTAGTAGTCAGTGTTTTAAAAGGCGTGGGCGTAAGGCGAGGCGTTTTACATATGCCTCAGTGAGGCGTAAGCCCCGAGGCACGGGGCGTAAGCCCCATAGGTAT